TAGCTCATACATCTGGCGTATTTAATTTTTTCTGTGGTGGAGGTGCTGGCTTTCATTGAAGCTAGAACCCCCATCTCAAAAAATTCATTTTCTCGTAAACGGCAAGGGCACAACATTTTTTTTCTTCGCCTTTTGAGAGCTTATAAATAGCTCATAAATATAGACCGGAAGTTCAAAATTCTGGACATGGTGGGGGTGCTAGCTACAATGACCTCAGTTAGTGACCCGGTATCATCTACCTCAAACTCAACAGCGCCAGGCGCATTCCTTGTATCACTCGACGCTACCAGTTTTTCCCTCAAATGTATTTGTCTCGAAACACTTTCAAGCTTATTTTCCTGCAGTTAAGAGGAGCGGGAAATTTAATAAAAAATAATGGAATTGCACTCAATGGAGTCAGCGGCACTTTCCACAATGGAACTTGGAGATCCATAAGACCGGTTACGTGTCCGCCTCCAAACGAAAGTCTGGCGTGACCGTTTCTCCAAGGTTTTCCCAGCCTTCGTTGCCGACACTCGCTTCAACCAAGCCCAGGGAACGACTCTCCGGCCACTAATGAGTCACAACGGTCAGCGGAGAAGGCCTGTAACTCGGAAAGAGCGACAGTGTATCTCGAGTACTCCGACGCGCGGTCCGCCGACGATTTGCAGCTGCTCTACTTTCCACATTCGCTACAAGAACGAAACTTGAGAAAGAACGGGAGAAAACGTTTTTTCTAACCACAGTTTTCCCGAAATCTAATTTCGAATCTTCATTACATCGAAACAATTCCTGGTCGGCGGGGTACACGACATTTTAGTCTCGAATTAAGGTGAAGTGAAACCCCCTTCAAATAAGTCGATTCAAATACAACATTTTTTTTTAAGGATATTGGACCAAACTGCCCGAAACTCTGACACATGACTCGTGATCATCAAAGAATTGTCCTGACACATTAAAAATTTGGATTTTTTGAACAAATTTTTTAACTTAGCCCAAACAAGAACCAAAATGGCGTCGAGCTTTCCTATTTCGATCAATGTACAATTATCGAAAGCTCCGATATGAGAAACTAAACGATCAGGACAATTTGTCGACAATTTAAAACACTTTGGTAATCGATAAACTCGCATTTGAATGGGATAAAGGCAAAAAAAGTGTTTTATGCGCTTCTATACCAAAACGATGGAAATACGAGGTCTCAAAGTGAAAATTTAATTGACCTGGAAATCACAGATGGCGCAAGGTGTCCCTCTGCAGCCAATTAGGGTCCCAGAAAGCATGAATACAGAGAATTTCTGTAGTTTTACTTCGATTTCTTTATAATTATTGTACGTAAACGACAGGTGGAGCATGCCATTTGGTACAATATCCATTATAATTCAACACAGCTGTCAGTATAAAAACAAACGTCGGCAACGTAGGTATTTAGAAAAATCTTCTTTATCGACGTTGATCAAGTTCCTCACCGTGTTTCACTTCACCTTAAGATAACAATCGGAATAGTGTCGATGAAAGGATTACGCATCGATATTCACAAACTGGCCAATGAATCGTATGGTTACAGTATTATAGTTTTGCGATCGAACATATAAACTGATCTATTTACTACCGCTGGATAGTTGTTTCATGTTCTCGTTGAAGTGATAAGATTTTGATCCTACTGCACATTGTTGCTTAGACGGCATAACCGCAACTGATGATGATAGTGTTATTTTGGTCAGCCTAATAGCAAACTATCTTTCTTTTTTTACTTCGTACATTAAACTAAACAAGTAAATATAACCTAACAAATTTCGGCTTTGTGCACTCTTAAACCACAAGTAAAAAGTAATCCGCCATGGAACAAGTTAAGTATCACTTACTTAGTGAAATCATTCGAAGAAATGTCACAACGCTTCCACACTATCATCCTAGTCATCACAGTTTATTGTCTTTGTTCGTTCATTTGTGTTTATGTATACACATTACGAAATGTATATCACGGAATTTCAAATATATAATGGACAGATACAAGAATGGGATCAAAAAAGTTTCGCACCAATTCGGGATTGTAGATTTCAGAAATGTTTACTGTTTCATCGGATCTCCTCACCCTGTACAGGCCCACTAGAGGGACTTAATTTTCGTAAAATGATACAACAATTGGCACCCAATGTATTTTTCATAGCCCTGATTTCAAATTTACATTTGCTTTTTTTAATCAGATTCCACTAAGCCGCATACACATCTTTACATACATATACATACGAAAATGATGGATATGAATGACTTTCCATTATGCACTAAAGGTATTATATTCATAGGAAAGGCATTGCATACATATACATCAGCGTACATGTAATTGGTCAAGAATTTTGACTGCAAAGTTTTTAATAATGTTGCACTTGAAAACATAATGAGAAAGATTTCGCAAAATAACTTAATACTTTACAAAAAGGCAAATGATTTTGTTTCTTGTAAGTAGTTAAGAGAACACATTTTACATTTGAGACGCACGTCTATGTAAATACAAGAAAGAAGATCTAAATTATAATTAGTTCCATTAAAGAATTAAAAAAATGTTACAAAATAGTGTAATTCTAACTATTTTGGTTGTGATTCACTTATTCATCTTTTTTTAAATTCTAACCTCGACAATTTTTTAAGTGCGTCAAGCTAACACGTCACCAACGTAACTCATGATTTCTGAATACAGACAAATTTTCTGCTAATCTTGTGCTGAATTAATTAATTTTTTCCGAAATTGGAAATTTCAGGGTGGTCGAGCTAGCTTGACGTCAAACTAGCACGTGCCCCTCTCAAACAATGCAGAAAGATAAAAACAAGTACTCCTAATTAAAGGTGAAATTATGTGCTAATTGTGTGCTACAATAGTTTTTTTAACCCATCATTTTTTCCCAAAAATTTTGCTTTGAACGTGAACATCTTGACATCAAGCTTGCACGTTCCATCCACAAACAATGTAACGAGACAAACAAAAGTAAATCAATTTGAAGATGAAATTATGTGCTAATTTTGTTCTGAAGTAGTTTCTTTTTACACACATCATTTTTTCTCAAAATTCATCTTTTGTTTTAACCGTGCTAGCTTGACGTCAAGCTAGCACGTTCAAAACAAAAATTGAATTTTTGAAAAAAAATGATGGGTTAAAAAAAACTATTTCAGCACAAAATTAACACATAATTTCACCTTTAATTTGGTGTACTTGTTTTTGTATTTCTGCATTGTTTGAGAGGGAAACATGCTGGCTTGACGTTAAGCCAGCACAGCCACACTGAAATTTCAAATTTCGGAAAAATTATGGGGGTACAAAATTAATTAATTCAACACAAAAATAGCACATCATTCCACTGTATTCAGAAATCATGAATTACGATGGTGACATGCTAGCTTGACGCACCTCATTTTTTAACCATTTAGATTAATGAATAATGACCTAACAATAGAAAAATTTAGTAATTAATTATTATACAATTAAACAAATTCACTTAATTAAATGATTACCGTGCACAGTTTTTCATAATTCATTTTTAAGCAACATTAAACCTAGTTTTTAATTAAAAGAAATTGAGTAAGATTTTTAATATTTTTTGACATTCCTTCTCTCTGTAAAAATTCATAAATACTTTGTGCCAGTTCAGGTGATTTTTTGTCTAACATAGTTTTAATCTTTTTCTTATACTTGTCTTAATAAAATCTGATGACCCACAACTTCACCTTTCCCACACGTTAATTCCACTTAATCCATTATCGCGTTAATGTCAACACCCCATCTAGTAATGTCACTGTTCTTTGGAAAATAACAATTTAAAATACTATACATTAACGGAACAGTCCTGTTAACAATTATATGGTTAGATCATTTTTCTACATATCATTTGATTGATATAAATGCTCTATAGTGTCATCATTAGATACTTTTCAATAGAAATGAAATGCAAATTTTCTTTTCCATCATGGTGTCAATTAATATATAATAACTATTATTTGCCCTAGTAAATAAAATGACCCTGCTATAGTATATGTTCGGTAAAACAGCTGATGTGTATCGTTTACTTTTTCCATTAATGCAATGGTAGTGGGAGTCACAACTTTTGTTTACTCTACATTAATAAACAGTCTGATTAACACTATTTCTCCCATGATTTTGTGTATACCTATTTCGACCAAAAGGTTTTGATGAGCTGGAAGAAAATGATACCGCTAAATAAATTTAACAATTATTATACGAAAATTCAAAACATTAATTGAGAAAAAATTATTAAGCTTTGAAAATAATTTCAAGTTAAAATTTTAAAGGGTGTTTTTTGACACCTTTGGTAGAAATAGTGTTAAAGAAAGTCTTAGGAGGGACTGAGAATTAGAAAATCCTGTATTACAATAACATACAATAAACAAAAACCTGATCTTCTTTTATATAATTTGGGTGAGGTGAATGCTCCTATAGATCGTTACTAAGAATTTTACACCTAAGATGTTTCCAAACATAGGCCATGCCTGTCTGATTGGTACTAATCTTTTACACATTTCTAACCCTTTTCATTAACCAATCGGAAATTACCATTGTAATCATAAAACATTTAAAATAGCACAAAAATATATATTTCTAAGCATTATTATGCATTCATTTTTGACCCAGTATTTCTATAAAAGAATGGAGCAAACATTCTCTTACTGAAATAACCTATAAGCAAACATGATTATTTATGTAAAATCAATGGCTTTTCAGGTATGCATGTTTTCCTCAAACGAAAATTTGTATCAAAGGAATAAACCCTATTATGAATATGGGGATCCGGTTATGATTTGCGATACCATAATACATATTCTTAAAAGCATACCTACCCGTATGATATAACGGTCAATTTAAATATTGATAACAAATCTCTTATGCATGAACATGGTATCATTCTTTGTCACAACATCGACAAACGTCGAGTTCACATTATAAGATAACAAACCTGTGAATAATAACATTGGGTTAGACGTAAAGCTTTCGACTACTATAGCTACACTCACCTAGTCGAAGTTCTCCGAAGTTCCCACAGCCAATCTTCTTTCCTACTCGAAAGTTAGGGCCAACCATGAGGACTCCGGAGGAGGAAGTGACGCTATGTCGAGAAGCATGGACATTGGATCTGGTGGCATTGCCACTTCCTTTGGATGTCCTCTTGGTGGCATCCTGATCCCTCTCTCTGTCACGGTCCGTTCCCCTGGCCATCTCCTTCTCTATGCGAGCGTCTCGTCCGTCCCTCTTCTGCATGGTACTCCCTGTTCCGACTCAGCCAACACTTGCCGAGGACCTCTCGAAGACTAGCCACCCGATGCGATCACCTGTCAAACCAACTCCTGGGTGTCGGGTCACTGACTATGCTCGGAACGTGACGTTGCGTTCAACGACTCAATTCCCATTTCAGTGCGTCCCTATCCGTCAAGATTCCCGCTGCCTGTCCCTCGGTCCCGGCGCATCCACCGTGCGCTGGGTCCTGGGACAAGCCCACTTCCGCCTAGGTCCGCAACTACGTTCCAGACGAGAGCGAGCTGCCACGAGGTTGCCCCATGTGCTTGGTTGCAGCCAGGGCTCCGCCACTAATTTTCAGGTCGCCAGAGCTCGAGCTCGCGCCGCGACACTCCCGGCTCCTGACAACTACAGGGCGCGGACCACCGGCAGAAGCCGTCCCGGTCGGCCTCGGTCGCTCTCGGTCACTCGGGCATCCTTGCGCATCCCCGAGGAAGACGTTCCTCTTGTCGGCCAGAAGAGGGCGCCCCAGGGTGCCCGAGGGCCGTCATCGGGACTGACCGAGCGGAACGGACCGGGACTACCGCGATGGCCCCCGCGAGGGCCCGAGAGGCAGGCGCTGACTCTCGTCGAATCGCACCACTTATCACCCGAATCAGGCCGGCCCTCAGCGCGCGCGAGTCCACTCGGGATGAAGCACCCCGACGGCTAGCGCACTTCTTCGTACCTCTCTCTTAGGACGGCCACCGCTCCCGCCTCCGTTACATGACACTCACGACGCCCCGGCGCGTCCACCATGCGCTCGCACCGACTCCAAGCTCGCCCGGACTCGGCCCGGACTCGGCCGACTTTAACAGCTAGGGACCGCAAAGGGGAAAGCTCGAGGTACACCTGGTCGGGCTGCGAAATCTTCCGCGCTTCACTCGACCGGACTCGCCGTTGGATCGGATTTGTTACGGGGCCGGCAGGCCTGCCAACCCCAGCTGATTAGCGCCCCTGCGCATGGCTGCCAATAGAGACCGGCCTAGAGATGAGTTGGGAGATTGCTCACGGGTAGAATTCTAAATGTAGTAAGGTATATTGGGAAGCATCGACGGCTTCCCGCGGACCTGCTGCCCCCTCCGGCCGCACTGCGTACTAGCGGCGGGAACAGCGGGTAATTTAAATCGCATAAGGGGGCAGAATGGACTTCCCACAGAAAATGAAGGTTTATGAACAAAAACAATTAATGAAAATTATATAAGTATTATTCTTAAGTGTCTCTGACCCACGTAACGTAGTTTTTCTTAAATGATTACTTACAGAATATCTTAAACATTATATTGAAATATGTTCTATTAAAAGTTAAGTGGTTTCTTAGCAATTCAGTTGTTCCATCCACTGAAACGAAGTATGAATATGATCTTAGCTTAAAAAAACAATGAACTGATATGTATACAGTTAAATGCAGGAGGAAAATGTTTATTGCATTCACTTTCGGCATAGATGCAAAATCATGATTTTATTTCCCTTATATATAATATTTACGTTCTGCATCTTTCTCCATATTTCTCGAATAAATAAACACCCGTAAATAGTTAAATCAATATCAAATGAGCACCCGTAAATATAATAAGTCTTTTTTAAGCGGGTTTTTCATCAACGCAAAGCTGGGTCACTGTTTCAATTGAATTCATTTCAAATCGGTATCTAAAATGTAAAATACCATTTTCCATTTCGTATTTGAAATAAGAACAAAAAAATTATTAGCGTAATTAAATGAGTCCATCAACATTCAACCTTGACGGTAGCGCGAGGACGGAGGGTCGTTGCGGTAAGGCGACTACATACTTGCGTCTTTTTATCCGCCATGGAGGTCTTGTGTCAGAGTGAGATAGCCTATTTGCTGCACGATCCTTTCCCCAGGGAAGGACAGAATTATGCATCTAGGTATCGGGACTCGAGCGTGAACTGGCTTCTCTTCGTCGGTGAAGTCTCGGCTTGGCCGCCGGTTTGAGGCTCGAGAGTGCTAGACGTGGCGCTCTCTCTGTACTCCTATGGGCCGGAAAGGCCCCCGGCTTTCATTACCACTCCCAAAACTCCAGTCTCAAGCCTTCCACCTCCTGCTGTGAGGGTCTCGATATCGGTTTCGCAATAATCGGATTAGTGTCAATGTTTTCACGCCGGCGAGGAAGACTCTCTTCTTACTCCGGAATACGGTCTTGTTCCTTTCGGAGCGGCGTTCTCCCTTGCTCTCTAGCGGGTCTTATGCCTCCCGATGACGTTCTCACTTGCAGTCTTTCACCCTCGGGCCTTGTCGCCCCTTTCTTCCGCGACCTGCAAGGTGAATTATCATTTTGCGACGACTGTGGTCAGGTATCTGACAGAGGAAAAAGAGGATCGATTTCTCCGTGAGAACTGTAGCCTCGAATAAACTTTGCCATCTACTCGGAATGTTAACCATTGATTATTCATATATTATTTAGTCACGTAATTTTGTAAAGAACCTGGAAACGGGAAAATAATGAAAATTCAATTCCATGATTTAAAATAAAATGAACTGAAGATTTTGACATTACCGCAGAATGATATAAAATGAAAATTTGGAAGTAACATGAACTGTAATAAACAGGGATAGCTCAGCTCGGGCGTCTCTTCGAGGCTCCTAAATGTTCCCTCTCACTTTTACGGGCCACAAAGCTCCGTGCGGCCCTCTCACTCCCACACCTCAACCCTCGGGCCTTATCCACCATACTGCTGAGAGGGGTTCAATGTTGTTTTCCCGATAATCGGATTAGCATTGATTGTTTCACGCCGGCGAGGGAGGTTCTTTCGATCACTAAGGGTTTGGGCTTTACGTCCGGTCGGATCGGCGATCTCTCTTGTTCTCGCACGTTTCAGGCCTCTAAAGGGCGTTCTTACTTCCACTCGCTTGCTCTCCAATCTTCTCTGCTTTTCCTCTTTCGAAACCGAATGATGGTCACGGGTTTGCAACGAACGGAGAATAATGAAGTTAATACACCGAGAAAAACTCTTTTCGTAAAAATTATTTCTTACAATGGCGTTAAAAACACTGTAACATAAAATAAAAAAAAATATGGTCCTCACTAAAAATTGCTGAATATTGAACTCTGGTGCACTGCAATGGAAAAGTTCATATATTAAAATAAGAGAATGAGAAATAGAAACTGCGTTTCATTTATTTAACTCCATTGAACGAAATAATTTTTTCGAAAGAAAAAAACATTTCTATTCAGGAATTTTTTTTTCAGTTCAAAGAAATTAAATATGTTCTCATAATTTAGAAATCATTTTATTCAATAGATAGCTTATAATATTCTATTGTTGTTTGCTGCAATTAAACACGTTACAGTTTAAGAAAGAATTGCAAAATATGATCATTCCTTTGAATGAAAAACAAATATTTCTTTGTGATAATTTCATGTCCTTTCTACCGATACACTGCTGTTTCCAAACGATCCAAACGAATTCAATTCAAAGAAATTATTTTGCTTTGAATCGAAGGAATTTTTGTTCTCAGCGTAAGGATTTAAATAATAAGATTTACAATTTACACAAACATTTATGCAGAGCTGATTAAAATAGATCTCTAAATCTATTTAAAATAGAAAATGAAAATAAATTTCTAAAATCCATTGAACTTGTAAGATGGAAAACGTTTTTCTATTTTTCATTTAAAATATGAAATATAAAATGTATATTTAAAATAGGTTGGTGTAAGTATTAAAAATGAATTTTTTTTAATATGATTGAAAACTTGTGAGAAAACTTATGTTACGTATAATTTAGTTAGGACTTGTATTTATATTCAAAATACAAGTTGTAATGTGGTGGATCGGTAGCTCCCCCACATTAAAGGGAAATCGTCGAAGAGGAAGGAGTAGCTACCGACCCGCCCTATATACCGTTAGAGCTAATAAGTTGCACGCGAGCACCACTAGCGAACGCCCGAACATTAGTATTAGGGGACATAGCTGGGAATAATTATGGGAAAGCAAAGGGAAAATAGGGGAAATAAGGGTCTGTACCGGATAAGGAACGACTCTGGGCGATAGGGGATGTTCGGGAGTAGATAGCTACGGCCTTAAAGGGCTGTACGCCTTAGGGTTAGCCCATGCCGCCCTGAAATAGTTGAGGAGATTGGGCCGCTCATGCGGTCCTGTAGTGCGCGACGAGGCCCGAGCCGCCGTCGCCGCGCTGCTCCGGGGGAGCGGGAGGATTGGTCGGCTGACGCGGCGCCGCCGGGCCGGAGCCAATCAACGCTCTGCTCGCGAGGCCGCTCGGCCAATCCGCGCCCCGGAAACTGCCGAAAAAGGACCCGGCAACGCGTGCGGGCCGGGACCGGCAGTCAGTCGGAAGATAGCAGTAGTTGAGGCTAGAGAGAGGACCTACAGCATTGTCAAACAAAGGAGAGAGAGCGATCCACGCTTTTCAAAAAGGGTCACCGAACATCCCCGCCCAAGTAAGTTTTAGGGGAAAATTCGGATGGAACGATCCGCGACTTATTAGGCGAAGATTCGCGGAAATTCATAGGGAAAGATCCGCGAGAATTATAGGGGAAAACGCGCGTAGCGAGGCACGCGAGGGTGTTCGCGAGTGGCGGCCGCGATGTATGATAAGTAGCAGCGTTACGGCCGGGAACCCGCGAAGCTCGTGCGAATTTTGTGGTAGAATTTAGAATTTAGGGCTGCCGACGGGCGGCTGGCGCCCAACTAGTGTGATACGGGATTAGGTTAATAAAGAATTTTTATATGAAACAGATGAAATTCAAAATTGAGCGCCCCTTTTTGTGACGAAAACCACGTCGCAAAGTCAACAATTTAATTTCGTTAGTTTTTGCGAAAGTGGCAATTTCGAGTTGTGTGTTTGATTTGATCGAGAGTTGATACAGTTGATAGAACAAGTATCATTCCGATCGGTTCTTTTCTAATATTCTCATTTCTCAAAAAGCATTTAATTATAAATGGAAATAGATTCAAAATCTATTTAAAATAGGAAATCCAAAATAGTTTTTTGTTCTTCTTTCAAATCCGAAATAGAACATGGTATTTTAGATAACTATTCCAAATGAATTCAAATCATAAAAGTTATGCAGATTTGCATTGATAAAAAACTCGCATAAAAAAGTCTTATTATATTTACGGGTGCTCATTTACATGTTCATTTAATTATTTACAGGCGTTCATTTATTCGAAAAGTACGCAGAATGGTGTAGAACATATGTGCCCATAATTATGAAAGTGGTCCAAGTCATATATTTCTTGTTTCGAGATATTTAATGAATTGCATTTGAATAAATTAAAAAATATTTTTATATTATGCGATATTTTAATTTAGAATTTCATTTGTCTTGATTAATGAAAATTTATTATGAATATGAAATTTTCTGTGAATTTCATACGAAAATGTTGTTTTCAAAGTGTGAATTGACTTGGACCATTTTCAAAATTAACTGAATGTCCTATAAATGACTTAAAGCAATAAAAAAGTACGAGTTTTAATAGAAACAATAATTTTAATGAAATTATTCATGAATATTTATTAATTATTTTTAAAAAGTAATCCATTTTTATCATTTTAGGCTTTTATCATTATGAGTTATTAAGATTCTTAAAATGTTCCTGAAAAATTGGAGGGATGTATGGTAGTAAACACATAATATCTTTATGTTTTTATTCCGTTACTGGTCTAGTGGTGGGGTATAATGGAAGTAATTTAATATTTCCGTATATTTTTGGTCTTCCTATTTTAGATGAAAGATCCAAAACATGGAATTTAGAATCATCTAAAGAAGTATTATGTGGTCGTATAATATCTGAAAATCACATAATATCTGAATAATAATTAACATATTCACATAATAAGTACGTTGTCATTAAGTTACCTGAACCGCTATCTGTTGACATAGTGGTAAAATATATAAATTATTTTTCCGCCAATAATTAGTTCGGAAGAGCCCAACTG